AAAGAGTGTCGAAGCCTTCAATCCTTGAGTGTTATGAAGAAGCCCAACTCGAAGCGGACAAAGCCGAAGCAGAAGAAGCAATCTAAGATGCCGCAAAAGCGGCGATGTCTAGCGAAGGAGATCTGAAGCGGACGAAGCCGAATGTGTTGAAGGCGCTCTATAGCGATTTGTCGTCCGTTGACCAAGAGAGACCGCCGATGAATAGACGAAATTCAACATCGGAAGCAGCCATGATAGAAAGACAAAGAACTTCAGAACGATAACGAAGGAGAGGCTCTGTCCAGACTGGTCAAGTCGAAAAGGTAGACGAAGTAGAACAAAGACGACACATGCGAAGAAATAATGAGACGACGAGCAGATGAGCGAGAATCAAGGCAAAGAAATAGTTCCTCCCTTCTCGTCCCGCAAGAAGGCCGGCGGGAATGAAGGTTTGACGATACTCCAACGATTATCGGTGGTTAGGACTAAAATTTGACTCTGATACCATGTCAAAATTTTTAGAAAAATGTGCTGAATTTTGAATAGGCTTGATGCCTTTTCCCTTTGCTTTCATTCCATTAAATAGTTATCTTACAATCTATTTTAGGTACAAAATATTTTGTATAATCTATTTTAGGTAACTTAATAATACATATTTCTAATTGAAATATTCAGCTAAAATGGAAATAAATCAAAATAAGGATATTGGAAATAATTTAAATAAGGAAGCTCCTAATTATAGAAAACTCATAATTTACTGTCTGATTTTCGTCCTTCATGATTGACAGAACGAGCTTGAAATGGAAGGCCTAAGGCTCTGATGATCGATTGTGGTAGATTCCCAGATACGAAATATCTCCCTCCCTTTTTCTTCTCCAAGAAAAAAAAAGAATTTCTCAGACTAAACTGACTAACCTTAGAACAAACTCTCCAAATAGACTACACCCCTTTCTCTCTTAGGAAAGGGCTAACTTATTGACTACCTATTTCAAATGGCACCTAGGCTTCTTAATTACTAAATTACCCTTGTGAAGAAAAATAAAATAAAACATGCTCTCTAATAAATAATTAATTATAAAGGGACATTTAAAAACTAAATGAAATTAAATTCTGCATCATTATGCTTTTTTATGCTACTTCCTCCATTCTTATAATAAAAAATCATTATATAATGAATCATTCATTATTTTTCTACGCACCCATCTTAATATTTGGATTTCAATCATGCTTAATCTATTTATTAAAGTCTTTTTTTTATCAAAAACTCAATTATATATAGGGTTGTATGCTTGGCCTAATTACAATTTTATTAAATTTATTTTTTATATCCCTATTATTTTCTTGTTGCATATTGCTCTTAATGCACTTTCTCTTTTTTATTACCATTCTTTAACTCTAGAATTTATATCCTCATCCATGTTTTTATTCTTTTATGAAAAATATCTAAGATTGACGCGGGTGTCTGCACTTCACGAGACGTGATGCAAACGCTGTTTAACGCGAGACCGCACCAAACACAGTTCGGACTGTTTGGTATGGATGATTTGACGGTCAACTGACGTTCTGGTTTGCTTGGTGTTGTCCACCCTATTGGGGGCCACTCCTCTTTACCCTAGGCCTATAAGTATGTTGTTTTGTGTTTTAGGTCAGTTTTTAATTGTTCTTGTCATGAGTGTCGTCGGTGCCCCTATTTTCCCGTCTAGGTCTATATCCAAGGGAGAACGGTGCTTCGGTTGTATTTCATTCTGAGTTGGTGATTCTACTCCAAGGGTCGAGTGGTTCTTCGATTGTATCTCGCTTCTGAGATGGTATTTATCCTTACCCAACTCCTCTGCATCTCTCCTGCTTTGCTGCCACACATTACTCCTCACTAAAGTCCACACCGACAACAACCCTTTGTTGTTCTTGCAGTTCCTCATTGTCTAGCCATCCTCCACTCTGTTGCACCCTCAGAGCAACCCTCCTTTTGCTATCCCGCTGTCCCACGCATTCTTCGTTGCTGCCGCCGTCATTCCCCCTCGCTGCTAAAGCCCCGAACAGTCGTTCCGGCTTGTTGTTCCCGCCGCCCAAAACCAATCCCCGTGCAGCCTTGTTACTATCCAACCTCTCATCATTGCTTCCACTGCTTAGAACATCCCACCTAGTTGTTCCTGCAATTTATTACCTTCTCATTGCCACCACCATCATCCCCATGCTATCGTCTCACCATCCAACCTTCCAAATTCCCAACCAACCACCTCCCTTGTGTGATACAAACCTAGTTGAGTGTTGTTTTTATCCTTTTTACATTTCCTTGTGTTGGTTGTAACCGTCTACACTTTTTCACTAATAATATTTGTTTTTTTTTTGTGGTTTGGGTTAACTCTGGTATTATGAGGTATCAGAACTAGCCCAACCCTAGTCACATTCTAGGGTTACTAGCATCTGCTAATACTAAACCCTATCTCCACCCAAAACTCCTCTTTATTGATTTTCCAAACCGGCCTCCCAAAAATTTTCTTTCCCACTCTACACAACCTCTATACACCATTTTCCTCCTACCCAAACCCAAATCCAAACCCGCACATTATGTCAGTATATGTGCATATGGCCTCATTGATACAACATCTCTGAGTGACTGTCACATATTACCGGCATAATTTAAATACATGATCAAGTAGCAAGAGGACGCCCAATGGAATATCTAGGTCGACCCCATCTGAAGAGACACTAGTTCAACATGGAGTACAGGTGGCGTCAATCCACAGTCCCAATTCCATCCCAGCCAAGATGTGTTTCAAGTGTCATAAATTTGGGCATATGAAATTAGATCGCCCAATCAAGTGAATTGTTTCTTTCACTGATCAGGGAGCAGTTGAAAAAATGGGCAATAACATAACATATACTGACAAAGGTGAGGACACAAAGGAGTACCCGGTTCTAATTGATGAGGGAGAAAACGTAGTTCAAATTGAGCCCATGAGACAGACTTTAACATAATTAATATTGGTGGTCCATGACAGTCCTAATTTTAAGGAATCGCCACCAAACACATGACGGACCCAAATATGAGAATTTCAAACTATTTAGATATATAGTCTACTTCATGAGTTGTCCCTAATGAGGGAGGTCCAACATATCAGCATGAAACTTCTTTTGCGCCCGCGCCCCTTTTGGAATACTATATAGAGTCATTTGGATATTCAAATCAGTTTAGTAGTGTACCACCGATAAATGATAAAAATGAGATGGATGAACCACAACATTGAAAATCGTCTTAAGATCTTTTGAGGAAAAGAGCATCCTATAATGCGATTCAGGTTCTTTCAGAGAAGAAGAAGCATTTCCTGCATAGTCATTCAATGCAGTTTAGCCCTCCATAGATTTCATCCCAAATTTAAATTCTCCTTACACACTTGTTTCTCAAATACGGTCAGACGAGAGTGTAAGAAGCCAATTACAGTTTCGATTTCTTGAAATTTGGTTCGTAAGGATTCCCATCAACGTGCAATTCCAGTTCTAGTTGTGCCAAAAGAGGGCAGACGCCTATTCTATCAGGATGTGTTTGGGAATGACATCATCTATAGGATTTACTTGCTAGAAGATTACAATATTTATGTTTCCTTCAAAGTATCCAACTTGACTTCATACTACAAGAAAACAAAAGCTTCGACGGATGAGGTTAAAGCTCTCATTGCCCCAGGAGACTGACACAGGCGTCTGTTCCCCGTGAGATGCGACGCGGGCATCTGTTTGACGTGAGATTGCGCTAGACGCAGTTTGAACTATTCGGCCCTGATGATTTGAGGGTCAACCGAGCTTCCTATTTACTTGGGGTTGCCACCCACTCTATAGGGGTCACTCCTCTTTACGCTAGATCTATAAGTATGTTGTTTTCATGTATTAGGGCAGTTTTTATTGTTTTTCTGTCAGGACAGCGTTCGACATCTCCTATTTTTCTTGTCTAGGGTTATATCCAAAGGCGAGTGATGTTCCGGTTGTATCTCGGTGATATTCACCCTTCCCCAACTCCTCTGCATCCCTTCTACTTCATTGTCACGCATTCCTCCTTATTGCAAACTGCGCTAATAGCAGCTCTTTGTTGTTCTTCCTGTAGTTTCTCGCAGCAGGAAATAATCATTTGACTTTTGACACAATGACTTGCTCTATCTTGGAGTGTTTTCTTCTTGGCAATTATTTGGATCATTTGTATTGAATGATTTCGTAGAAGCTTTGACAAAACTAAAGACGATTAAAAGGTCTTTAAACTTTGATTTTTACATTTATACCACCCAAATCTTTCATATCACATAAAAAAAATCACTATTTTTATTTTAACTTTTAAAAGAGTGAATTACATATTTTCCTGCATATGTAAGGTGTCATCTATGTTTAGATATTAATATGTAAATACATGTTAATATCTAATTTAGTGGTATGCATGTAAATGTTCCTTTTTTTCCGGCAATTCATACCTCAAAATTTTATTCGTTTTAATTAAGTTCATTGTGTTGCATTGCATCTTTAACTCCCATTAGAAAGTGAAAACTATCAAGAGTACTTGGATACAGTACTGAAGGGTCCATTGAGCATCACATTGCGGCACCGACTGCAATGCCATGTTATTCGTGATGCTGCGAAGGATGAAATAGAGGCTGAAGAACCCATTCTCGTTCTTAATGAAGTCACCATTGACAGGGGAATGTCTTCATATCTAACTTTTCTAGAATGCTACTGTGATAATTCCTTTGTAACTTGTGTGCAAGGGGATGGATTAATACTATCAACAACATCTGGTAGCACAGCCTACTCACTCGCTGCTGGAGGATCAATGGTCCATCCACAGGTATGCTTCTCATTTTCATCCACTGGAAAACTGCAGCATCATTAGTAGTTTTGCATCTTAATATTTCCAAGGGACATTTACATACTTACCACCGAATTCTCATGTATTTACATATCTAAAACCTTAATTTTACTTCTTACTTTTATGAAACCGAAGAGTTTTATATCACATCAAAAATACCATCATTTTAACTTTTAAAAAGTGAAATGTACCTATTCATGCATTGGTAAGGTGGCATGTATGTAAAAAATAAAGTTTAGGTGTTAGATATGTAAATACATAGGGAATTGAGTGGTATGTATGTGAAGCTACCTATTTTCTATTATTGCTATCTGAACTTTTCTGTTGACCAACAACCAGTAACAGGGTAGAAAGACTTGAAATATACTACTGATTTTAAAAGGAGGTGCTGTAACAGCCATATATATAAGGGTAATCATGCCAGATTCCTTGTTCAAGTAGAAGCATGGAGAAATAAGAACTAGACAGAAGGTTTATTAACTTAGATAAACATATACTGTCAAATTCTTATAAACTGAAGAGAGAGAATGATCTTAAAATTTTCTGAAAATGAAATTCTAATTTTTCTATCCTATTTGGAAGAACGAGATATTTTTTAAGCTCATTCTCAAGGACTGGCGATTATACAAATTTGTAGTGATCGGGATATATATATATATATATATATATATATATATATATATACATACAGATTCCTTGTATTATGATATATGGAGAATTCAGATTCTATAGCTGTAAAGATAGCTTGAACTTGAAATTTGTTCTATGTGGATGCTCTCGATATGTTCATCATCATGTCTGGATCAATCTGGTTCATGACATCAATGGAACCTTCTGTACATCACAATTGTCTTTTATAACACTTTTATGATTTTAGCAAGAAGCAATCTTGCTGCATAAAATACGGACAGCAAATCAATAAGGGGGTTTTTTCTTTTGAAATATTAATTGATTATTTAGTCTATATGGTGGCACCGAACATAATAATTTTCTTTTACTACTGAATATAGTTTCTTCGATTTAACTGAAACTCTATTACATGGAACTGGTAACCCGAGAACAGTAATCCAAGAAATTGCTGAACTTGTATTTTTATGGAGAGCTCCACTCTCCAACAAAATTCGCTTGAAATAAATTTAGGGGCATTTACATACATAGCACATAATTCTTATCTGTTTACATGTAGACTTGCATATTTACACACATAGCACTCAATTCTTTTATATCACATCAAAAATAGCACTATTATTTCTTTTTAAAAGTGAAATACACATTTTCATGCACATGTTTAAAACACCAAAATGTTATGTATGGAAGTATGAAAGTTTAGGTTTGAGATGTGTAAATTCACAGAAAATTTCTTTACAATTCTACCAATAAACTAATTTAACCGACATTTGAAGTTTTTAACACTATGAAAATATAGGTTCCCGGCATACTTTTCACGCCAATCTGTCCACATTCGCTTTCCTTCCGGCCACTGATACTGCCAGAGTATGCAACGCTGAGAGTTCAAATCCCTTTCAACAGCCGGGGACAGGCATGGGCTTCTTTTGATGGTAAAGACAGGAAGCAGCTGGCCCCTGGTGATGCTCTCATCTGCAGCATGGCTCCGTGGCCGGTGCCCACCGCTTGTCAGGTTGATTCGACGAACGACTTCTTGCGGAGCATTCATGAAGGTCTTCATTGGAATCTAAGGAAGATTCAATCATTCGATGGTCCGCGTGATTCGTAGCTTCCACGGCAACTTAAAACATTATTAGTAAGGTTCATCAGCATCATTTTTTAATGTTCTTGCCACCCAAATTCGTATGTATTTACATATTTAACATTTGGCATTTATGTTGCCCAATCTTTTAATTATATCACGGCAAAATTACCACTGTTTTAACTTTTAAAAACCGAAATATAACTTTTTGTATCTAGGTAAGGTGATTTGTATGTAAAAATTGAAGTTTAGGTGTTAGAAATGTAATACACGGGAATTGAGTGGTATGAATGTAAATCGTCCAATTGTTAAACCATTTCCATGTCACTGTACACAACAATATTGCTCTTATAACTGCAGGTGCTGCTCGGTGGTGCTCCCTGTATTCTCATTTATCCACTTAAATGAACTTTCTGAAGCAAAACAACGCCCCTGCAGTTTAAAGAGTTATGAAGATTGACATGCATACCTCTAAATCCTATGTTTTTTCATATTCAACACTTAAAACTTCAATTTTTACAAATATACCGCCTTAACCTTGCATGAGAAGTTGTATTTCACTTTTAAAAATTGAAAGTGTAACTTTTGATGTTATATGAAAGATTTGGATGGTATAAATGTAAAAAAGCAAAGTTGGTGTTAGATATGTAAATAAATATGAGTTGGGTGATATGCAGTGTGGGTCCAGCGCCATGAGTAACGGCTTCTTAAACTGAAACTTTTGTTCTGAATTTTGTTCTTGTTGTTCACAGTGGAATCCAATGGGGATAGATCCAGTTGCTGGCGATTCCAGCTCTGATGATTCGCAAAGCCAGGCAGATGAACAATACCGAAGGTAATAATCAGTATTACAAACTTTGAATTGGGAAAAAAAAATATATATATATATATATATATATATA